CAGCCCCCCCCCCCCCACACACACACCCACACACAGCCCTCTACACAGCACCCCCCCACACACACCCACACACAGCCCTCTACACAGCCCCCCCCCACACACACCCACACACAGCCCTCTACACAGCCCCCCCCCCCCACAGCCCTCTACACAGCCCCCCCCCCCCCACACACACACCCACACACAGCCCTCTACACAGCACCCCCCCACACACACCCACACACAGCCCTCTGCACAGCCCCCCCCCCCACACCACACACACACACAGCCCTCTACACAGCCCTCTACACAGCCCCCCCCACACACACACACCCACACACAGCCCTCTACACAGCCCCCCCCCCCACACACACCCACACACAGCCCTCTACACAGCCCTCTACACAGCCCCCCCCCACACACACCCACACACAGCCCTCTACACAGCCCCCCCCCCACACCACACACACACACAGCCCTCTACACAGCCTCTACACAGCCCCCCCCCCACACACACCCACACACAGCCCTCTACACAGCCCCCCCCCCACACCCACACACAGCCCTCTACACAGCCCCCACACACACACCCACCCACACACAGCCCTCTACACAGCCCCCCCCCCACACACACCCACACACAGCCCTCTACACAGCCCTCTACACAGCCCCTCTAAACACCACAAGCTACTGAGAGAGAGTGAGGATTGAGAGCGATTGAGAGAGAGACACGAGAGGGACACAGAGAGAGCGATTGAGAGCAACTAAGAGAGTGAGAGAGACCGGGTGCGAGAGAAAGAGGCAGCGAAAGAGGGGAGTGAGAGCGACTGAGAGAAAGAAAGAGACACACAGAGAGAATGATTGAGAGCGAGTGAGAGAGACAAAGAAAGAGAGACAGAAAGAGAGTGAGGGATTGAGGGTCTCTCACTCTCTCAGTCTCTTACTCTCTCAGTCACTCCTAATCCCTTACTCATTTTCTCAGGCACTCTCTCATACTGTGTGCATGTGTGTGGGTGGAGGGGTCTCTATCTCCGTCTCTCTCTGTCTCAGTCACTATACTACCTCTACAACATCCATCCACACTCCCAGGACATGGTTAGAGACACAGTAAAGCTCCTCTACACTGTGTGTCCACACTCCCAGGTCAGGGTTAGAGACACAGTAACGCTCCTCTACACTGTGTGTCCACACTCCCAGGTCAGGGTTAGAGACACAGTAACGCTCCCTCTACACTGTGTGTCCACACTCCCAGGTCAGGGTTAGAGACACAGTAAAGCTCCTCTACACTGTGTGTCCACACTCCCAGGTCAGGGTTAGAGACACAGTAAAGCTCCTCTACACTGTGTGTCCACACTCCCAGGTCAGGGTTAGAGACACAGTAACGCTCCTCTACACTGTGCGTCCACACTCCCAGGTCAGGGTTAGAGACACAGTAACGCTCCTCTACACTGTGCGTCCACACTCCCAGGTCAGGGTTAGAGACACAGTAAAGCTCCTCTACACTGTGTGTCCACACTCCCAGGTCAGGGTTAGAGACACAGTAACGCTCCTCTACACTGTGTGTCCACACTCCCAGGTCAGGGTTAGAGACACAGTAACGCTCCTCTACACTGTGTGTCCACACTCCCAGGTCAGGGTTAGAGACACAGTAACGCTCCTCTACACTGTGTGTCCACACTCCCAGGTCAGGGTTAGAGACACAGTAACGCTCCTCTACACTGTGTGTCCACACTCCCAGGTCAGGGTTAGAGACACAGTAACGCTCCTCTACACTGTGCGTCCACACTCCCAGGTCAGGGTTAGAGACACAGTAACGCTCCTCTACACTGTGCGTCCACACTCCCAGGTCAGGGTTAGAGACACAGTAACGCTCCTCTACACTGTGTGTCCACACTCCCAGGTCAGGGTTAGAGACACAGTAACGCTCCTCTACACTGTGCGTCCACACTCCCAGGTCAGGGTTAGAGACACAGTAACGCTCCTCTACACTGTGTGTCCACACTCCCAGGTCAGGGTTAGAGACACAGTAAAGCTCCTCTACACTGTGTGTCCACACTCCCAGGTCAGGGTTAGAGACACAGTAACGCTCCTCTACACTGTGTGTCCACACTCCCAGGTCAGGGTTAGAGACACAGTAAAGCTCCTCTACACTGTGTGTCCACACTCCCAGGTCAGGGTTAGAGACACAGTAAAGCTCCTCTACACTGTGTGTCCACACTCCCAGGTCAGGGTTAGAGACACAGTAACGCTCCTCTACACTGTGCGTCCACACTCCCAGGTCAGGGTTAGAGACACAGTAACGCTCCTCTACACTGTGTGTCCACACTCCCAGGTCAGGGTTAGAGACACAGTAACGCTCCTCTACACTGTGTGTCCACACTCCCAGGTCAGGGTTAGAGACACAGTAACGCTCCTCTACACTGTGTGTCCACACTCCCAGGTCAGGGTTAGAGACACAGTAACGCTCCTCTACACTGTGTGTCCACACTCCCAGGTCAGGGTTAGAGACACAGTAACGCTCCTCTACACTGTGTGTCCACACTCCCAGGTCAGGGTTAGAGACACAGTAAAGCTCCTCTACACTGTGTGTCCACACTCCCAGGTCAGGGTTAGAGACACAGTAAAGCTCCTCTACACTGTGTGTCCACACTCCCAGGTCAGGGTTAGAGACACAGTAACGCTCCTCTACACTGTGTGTCCACACTCCCAGGTCAGGGTTAGGACACAGTAACGCTCCCTCTACACTGTGTGTCCACTCTCGCAGGTGAGGGTTAGAGATACAGTGAAGCTCCTTCTGCACTGTCGTCCACACTCCAGGTTCACAGCACCAGTAAGTACTTGACGAGTTGTTGTGAGGTGTCAAGTTGAGGTGCTAATCCTGGGAGACAGGGGTGGAAAAGGGCAGCGTTCTGCTTGGTCTCTGCACATCCGTCCTCACTGCATTTGGGGATTAGTGCAATCAGTCAGCCTCCTGCTCCCTGCCTGTGACGAGGGCTGGGGAGAATATAAAAGGCAGCTTCAGTCGGGGGAAAGGCAGAGCGAGTGGAGAGCGGGAGCGAGAGAGCGAGAAGTGTGAAGAGAGAGGAGCCAAGAGAGACGAGTGAAGAGCGAGCAAGAAAGAAGACAATCACACACTTTCAGGTAAGATGGATGGAATTCATAGCAGCTCAGAATCCCTCCGCCTGACCCCTTCCCTCTGGCTCACATCCTCCCTACATCTCACGTACAGTGTATCCTGTGAAGCGCTTCGAGACATCTTGACGACGTGATAAGTCGCTGCATCAAATGCCAGGATTATTATTTTGACTCATCTCACAGCCGCCTCTCTCCCTGATCCAGTGACTTTTACTGGGAAATGTTTACACTTCCGGAGTTTCCCGTACACACTGCAGGAGTTTGTGAGTTCGAGCCCCCCACCCCCCACCCCTCACACTCAAGCGCAGCACTGGGAGAGAAAGTGCCACATTATCAGAGACGACGTCATGTGAGACATTGAACCCCGCTCCCCCCCCACCCCCCAACACCGGCTGTTCAGGTGGATGTTAAAAATCAGTTCAAGTCCGATTAAAGTTTTTTCTCTCTCTTTGTCCTGATCATAACTTACTGCTGGTAAACAAAGTGCGTGTGGAGTAAGGAAACTTACCTAAGGTTTTGCCACATCCGTGGAATTAAACCCAGGTCCTGTCTGTCACTTGCGAGGCGAGTGCTCTTACCACTGAGCTACAGGACTGCGGAATTTGTTTCTCCTTCTGATCTCCCTCGGTCACCCTCCTCGTTCTCCAGTCATTGCCCATCAACCACCCACCCACTCTACTTCCCTCTCCCCACACCCTGGCCATAAACCTCTCCAGCCTGGTCTCCACCACTCAGTGTAAACCTCTCCAGTCTAGTTTCTGTGCTGTTCACAGCCTTGGTCAAAGTTACACATGACATTCTTTCCATCTGTGACCAGGGTTCCCTCTGACTCCTTGTCCTTTACTATCTTTCTGCCATCTTCCACCCTGTTGACCAATGTGTTCTGCACCACCTCTCCTCTCAGCTCCAGCTTCACAGCTCTGTCTTTGCCAGGTTTCATACGAACCTGTTCCACTGTCTCCACTTTGTATCTGGTAGCCAGCTAACAGCTTCTCCTGCAGCCCCCACATTGCCATGTGTGCCATTCCTCAGGGCTCTGTCTTTGGTCTTCTCTTTAATTTCCCACTCCCACCACAACCCTTCAGGCCGTCGAGACTCTTATCCACGCATTCATCATATCTAGACTCAACTAAACCAACTCCTTGCTTGTCGGCCCCCAACTCCTCCCTCCACAGGCTGCAGATCATCCAGCCCCATCCTCACCCCCACCAGGCTCCCCGACCCCATCACCCCCATCCTCACCCCCACCAGGCTCCCCGACCCCATCACCCCCATCCTCACCCCCACCAGGCTCCCGACCCCATCACCCCCATCCTCACCCCACCAGGCTCCCCGACCCCATCACCCCATCCTCAACCCCCACCAGGCTCCCCGACCCCATCACCCCCATCCTCACCCCCACCAGGCTCCCCGACCCCATCACCCCCATCCTCACCCCCACCAGGCTCCGTGATGTGTAAGGTGTGGAATGCTGTAGCTCAGGGGTTGGAGCCCTCGCCTCGCAAGCAAGAGACCTGGGTTTGAGTCCCGGGCCGGGCAAAATGTTGGGCAAGTTTCCTTACTCCACACACATACATCTGTTTACCGACAGTAAGAAGGAACCTGGTTGTTAGTCGATTGGTTGATCACTTTCCAGGGATAATAACCCATTCATAATAATCATAATACTGATGTGGGACGCTGCTGGGAGCAATTGGCTGCTGTGTTTCGCCCACAAAATACAGAGTCACTACACTTTGCAGTATATTCTGTGAAGCTCCTTGCAACGTTTCAAAGAAGTGATAAGGCACCGCATCAAATACAAGGATTATTGTAAAATGTAATGTTGTTGTTATAGAATATGATGATATTAATTGTGCTGATGTGTTGCCCCCGGCAGCTGAGCGGGTGAGGGAGTGAGGGAGCAGACGAGAGGACGAGGAGATGGAGCTGTGCGTGTGGACCCGAGTGGTGTTGCTGATGGCTGTGCTGTGGGCTGACAGTGCAGGGGCTCAGTGTGGGGACCAAGACCCTGACTGTCACCTCAAGGGCCTGGACACCAGCCTCCTGGTAACTGCACCCCCTCCCACCATCCCCCCACCATCCCATGATGCCCCCATTCCTTGCTCTCCCCCCATCGTGTCTGTGCTGGGGCTCACTCCCCACTGGAGCTCTCTACTCTAACCCCATTCCCTGCTCTCTCTCTCTCCCCCCATCGTGTCTTTGCTGGGGCTCGCTCCCACTGGAACTCTCTATTCTAACCCCATTCCCTGCTCTCTCTCTCTCCCCCCATCGTGTCTTGCTGGGGCTCGCTCCCACTGGAACTCTCTACTCTAACCCCATTCCCTGCTCTCTCTCCCCCCATCGTGTCTGTGCTGGGGCTCGCTCCCCCACTGGAGCTCTCTACTCTAACCCCATTCCCTGCTCTGTGGAGGAATGTGTAACGGTGGATCTTACATAGGCCTCTAATGGGATGTGTAATGGGGCGTATGATGGCGTGTGTAATGGAGTGTGTGATGGCGTGTGTAATGGGGTGTGTGATGGTGTGTGTAATAGGGTGTGTGATGGTATGTGTAATGGGGTGTGTAATAGTGTGAGTAATGGGGTGTGTAATGGTATATGTAATTGAGTGTGTAATGATGGGTGTGTGATGGTGTAAGTAATGGGGGGGTGTGATGGTGTGAATAATGGGGTGTGTGTTGGAATGAGTAATGGTGTGTGTAATGGGATGTGTAATGAGGTGTGTAATGGTGTGTGATGGTGTGTGAAATAGGGTGTAATGGGATGTGTGATGGTGTGTGATGTGGTGTGTAATGGGGTGTATGATGGTGTGTGAAATGGGATGTGTAATGGGGTGTGTAATGGGATGTATAATAGTGTGTAATGATGTGTGTAATGGGTTGTAATGGGGTGCATAATAGTGTGTGACGGTATGTGGAATGGGGTGTGTGATGGTGTGTGTAATGGGATATGTAATGGGGTGTGTGATGGTGTGTGTAATGGGATGTGTAATGGGGTGTGTGATGGTGTGTGTAATGGGGTGTGTGATGGTGTGTGTAATGGGATGTGTAATGGGATGTGTGATGGTGTGTGTAATGGGGTGTGTGATGGTGTCTGTAATGGGATGTGTAATGGGGTGTGTGATGGTGTGTGTAATGGGGTGTGTGATGGTGTGTGTAATGGGGTGTGTGATGGTGTGTAATGGGGTGTAATGAGGTGTGTGATGACATCTCTCACACAGGCCTGTAATGAGGTGTGTAACAGAGGGCGGAGCCTGGAGGTCCCGCTGTTCCCTGGGAATGGTCGGCTGATGCCGGTGGCTGAGGCCCTGCGCAGTTACGTGATGGGACATTTCCGCTGGGACAAGTTTGGGAAGAAACGAGGGAACAGCTCGAGGTCAGCGCGGGGCGTGTGGGGGCCACGCTGGGCCTCCCGGGAGCTGCTCGGTCCACGGGAGGACAAACGATCCTACTCCATGGAGCACTTCCGCTGGGGGAAGCCAGTGGGCAGGAAGAGGAGACCCATCAAGGTTTATCCCAATGAGGACACCTCAGCCGAGGGCCTGGGGGACGAGCTCAAACGTCAGATCTCCGCAGAGGCCTGGGGCCCCGGAGAGGCCTGGGGCCTGGGACGGGAGATCTGGGGCCTGGGAGACAAGGCCTGGGGCCCGGTACAGGCCCAGGGTCCCTGGGGCCCAGGTGAGGAGACCTGGGGCCCAGAAAAGGAGACTTGGGGCCCAGGACAGGAAACCTGGGTTCCGGGGCAGGAGCCTGAGCAGAAGAAGGATGGGAAGTTGTACAAAATGACCCACTTCAGGTGGGCTGAGGGCTCCAAGGATGGCCTGCGTCAAGCGGGGTCTAAACATCTGCTTCCCATGTTCCCCAAGACCCCCGAGGCCAGCCTGCCCCAGGTGGGTGCCAACGAGGCCGAGGTGGAGGCTGAGGATTTGGAGAATGAGCTGGGCCCCGAGGAGAAGAAGAATGAGGAGGATTACAAAATCGGCCACTTTAGGTGGGGGTCACCACTGAAAGACAAGCGCTACGGGGGCTTCATGAACTCCTGGGACCGCAGGCCACTGCTCACCCTCTTCAGGAATGTGATGGGGAAGGAGGGTCCAGTTGGGAGGGGCCTGGGGCAGTGAGGCCCCCAGTAGCCTATTCCCCACCGAGCCTCTGTATATACGTCTTTGTCCCCCGGCCCTCCCCCGCCGCAGCCCCTCCTATTTATTGCCTTGTACGATATGTAAATGATGGTTGATGATTACACACGTTTTTGCGGCTAAACATGGCTCCTCTCTCTGTTTGTTACACTCGGGAACACACAGTCAGTCACACACAGGGAGGCCATTCAGCCCAGCAATTCTGCGTGACTCTCACAGCCAGCTCCCCCGCCCTGCCCCTGTAATAATAATAATAATAATAATCCTTGCATTTGATATAGCGCTTTTCACGTCGGGAGGACGTCCCAAAGCGCTTCACAGAACACACTGTAAAGTGAATTGACTGTATATTTGTGGGCGAACGCGGCAGCCAATTGCGCACAGCAATGTCCCACACACAGTCGTAGATTGAAAATGACCAATTTATTATTGTTTTTGGTTTTGGAGGGAATATTATTGGGCTCTGTGTGGAGTAAGGAAACTTGCCCAAGGTTTCGCCCTCTGCCTGGAATTGAACTCAGGTCTCTCACTTGCAAAGCGAGTGCTCTAACCACTGAGCTACAGGACTCCCTCTCCCTTATCCTCTCCCCCACCCCACCCTCTGCCACTCTCCCCTGCACTCTCCCCTCTGGCCTCCCTCCCTCGCCCTCTCCTGTTCCCTCTGCCCTCTCCTTCCCCTCGCCTTCTACCTTTTGCCCCGCCCTCTTCCCTTGCCCTGCCGTCTCCCCTCACTGTTAGTGTGACACTGGCTGCATACCCACAAACCTGCTCCTATACAATCGTACAGCACAAAAAGAGGCCATTCGGCCCATTGAGTCTGTGCCGGCTCTTTGAGAAGAGCAATGTAATGTCATACTGCTTGGATTTGTGGCACGCGGAGCACAACAAAAATCTCTCCACAATTAAGGGCTGATAATGGGGAAACCCTACAATCCAGAGCTCTACCGGGTAGGATGGTCCCAGCTGGACAAGCAGCGGGAAAGCTTGCCAGACAATGCTATTAATGACAAATTATGTGGTTTTAGTTGGTTAGACTCCACCAGTTACCCCAGTGCACACTCTGGGATCCCCAAATCTTGGTTTTCGCCAACCTGCGCCTAATATCATCTGGCATCGTTCCCATTCATCTAAAAACATCTACAGTACAACAACAACAAGATTCCATTTATAGAGCGCCTTTCACGTCGGGAGGACTAGCCAAAGCGCTGGACAGTTGGGTCAGGACCCGAGCAGGGGAGAAATGGTCAGGGTGAGGGGAGGGAAGGGAGGGAGCGAGGAGGGGGGGATGGTGAGGGGAGGGAGGGGGCGAGGAGGGGGTAGAGAGCGGAGCTGTAGGCTGAAGGTCAAAGAGAAAGGTTTTGAGACCGGCCTTGAAGGAGGAAAGGGAGGAAGCGGCGAAGGCACTGGGGATGGAGTTCCAGAGCCTCGGGGCTGAGAGGCTGAAGGCCACCGATGGTCGGGCGGTTGGGGCGGGGGATGTGGAGCAGACCGGAGCCGGAGGGACGGAGGGTACGGGCAGGTAAGTGGGGGATAGTAGGTTGGAGAGGTAGGAGGGAGCGAGGCCGTGAATTGCTTTGTAGGTGAGGATGAGGATCTTGAATTGGATCCTCTGGGGGATGGGGAGCAGTGGAGGTGAGGGTGAGGGCGAGGGTGAGGGTGAGGGTGAGGGCGAGGGTGAGGGTGAGGGTGGGAGTGAGGGTGAGGGCGAGGGTGAGGGCGAGGGTGAGGGTGAGGGTGGGAGTGATGTGGGCGCGGTGTCTGGTGCGGGACAGTACACGAGCTGCAGAGTTCTGAATGACCTCTCTCACCGTCTCCTTTGTTGCCTCCAATGGTTTCTCCTCCAGCCCCGCACTGTCATGTCTGCCGTCCCCAGGGCTCTGTCCTTGGTCCCCGCACTGTCATGTCTGCCGTCCCCAGGGCTCTGTCCTTGGTCCCCGCACTGTCATGTCTGCCGTCCCCAGGGCTCTGTCCTTGGTCCCCGCACTGTCCCGTCTGCCGTCCACAGGGCTCTGTCCTTGGTCCCCGCACTGTCCCGTCTGCCGTCCCCAGGGCTCTGTCCTTGACCCCCGCACTGTCATGTCTGCCGTCCCCAGGGCTCTGTCCTTGACCCCCGCACTGTCCCGTCTGCCGTCCCCAGGGCTCTGTCCTTGGTCCCCGCACTGTCCTGTCTGCCGTCCCCAGGGCTCTGTCCTTGACCCCCGCACTGTCATGTCTGCCGTCCCCAGGGCTCTGTCCTTGACCCCCGCACTGTCATGTCTGCCGTCCCCAGGGCTCTGTCCTTGACCCCCGCACTGTCCCGTCTGCCGTCCCCAGGGCTCTGTCCTTGACCCCCGCACTGTCCCGTCTGCCGTCCCCAGGGCTCTGTCCTTGACCCCCGCACTGTCATGTCTGCCGTCCCAGGGCTCTGTCCTTGACCCCCGCACTGTCCCGTCTGCCGTCCACAGGGCTCTGTCCTTGACCCCCGCACTGTCCCGTCTGCCGTCCACAGGGCTCTGTCCCTGTCTCCTCTTTGACATCTGCATTCTCCCCCTCGGTGACACCATCCGCAGACATGGGGTCAACTCCATATGTATGCGGATGGCACCAACTCCACCTGTCTGCCCCCACCCTCAGCCCCAGGGCCACTGCTGCCCTCACAGACTGTCTGTCTGCCCCCACCCTCAGCCCCAGGGCCACTGCTGCCCTGACAGACAGCCTGTGCCTGGGGTCAGTGTTGGGCTGTAGTTGGGGCTGGGGGCGTGTGTGGGGGCGGGGCCTGTGTGGGGCGGGGCGTGTGTGGGGGCGGGGCCTGTGTGGGGGTGTGGCCGCGGTGGGGGCGGGGCCTGTGTGGGGCGGGGCCTGTGTGGGGCGGGGCCTGTGTGGGGGCGGGGCCGGGGTGGGGGCGGGGCCGCGGTGGGGGCGGGGCCTGTGTGGGGCGGGGCCGCGGTGGGGGCGGGACCTGTGTGGGGCGGGGCCGCTGTGGGGGCGGGGCCGCTGTGGGGGCGGGGCCTGTGTGGGGGCGGGGCCGCGGTGGGGGTGTGGCCTGTGTCGGGGCTGTGGGATGGAGACCAGGGCCCGGAGCGGCACCGCCACCGCCAGGAAGTGCTTACGGGTCAAAGTGATCAGCCTCGGCTGTGCTGAGGTGGGCAAGGTAACCGCCCCCCCCCCCGGCCACCCCCCCACACACAGCCCCCCCCCCCACAGAGCCCCCCCACACACACACACACAGCCCCCCCGGCCTGACCACCCCGGCCTGCCCCCCCCCCCCCACACACACACAGCCCCCCCCACACACACACAGCCCCCCACACACACCCCCCCCGCCCGGCCACCCCCCACACACACACAAGGTAACCGCCCCCCCCCACACACAGCCCCCCCCCCACACACAGCCCCCCCCCGCCCGGCCACCCCCCCACACACAGCCCCCCCCCCCCACACACACAGCCCCCCCACACACACAGCCCCCCCCCGCCCGGCCACCCCCCACACAGAGCCCCCCCCCACACACAGCCCCCCCCCCCAGCCACCCCCCACACACAGCCCCCCCCCCCACACACACACACAAGGTAACCGCCCCCCCCCCCCCGGCCACCCGCCACACACACACACAAGGTAACCGCCCCCCCCCACACACAGCCCCCCCCACACACAGTCCCCCCCCCACACACACAGCCCCCCCCCACACACACACAAGGTAACCGCCCCCCCCCACACACAGCCCCCCCCACACAGCCCCCCCACACACACAGCCCCCCCCACACACACACAAGGTAACCGCCCCCCCCCACACACAGCCCCCCCACACACACAGCCCCCCCCACACACACAGCCCCCCCCACACACACACAGGTACCGCCCCCCCCACACACAGCCCCCCCCCACACACAGCCCCCCCACACACACAGCCCCCCCCGGCCTGACCATCCCGGCCTGCCCCCCCCCCCCACACACACACAGCCCCCCCCACACACAGCCCCCCCCGCCTGCCCCCCCACACACACACACACCGCCCCCCCCACACACAGCCCCCCCCGCCTGCCCCACCCCCCCCGGCCTACCCCCCCCCACACACAGCCCGCCCCGCCTGCCCCCACCCACCGCCTGCCCCTAACCGACAGCCCCTACACCCCCAAATACCCCCCCCCCCCACACACACACACAACAACAAGATTCCATTTATAGAGCGTCTTTCACGTCAGGAGGACGTCCTGAGGCACTGTACAGTTGGGTCAGGACCCGAGCATTGGGGGGAAATGGTCAGGGGGAGGGGAGGGAAGGGAGGGAGCGAGGAGGGGGAAATGGTCAGGGTGAGGGGAGGGAGGGAAGGGAGGGAGCGAGGAGGGGGGAAATGGTCAGGGTGAGGGAGGGAAGGGAGGGAGCGAGGAGGGGGGGATGGTGAGGGGAGGGAAGGGAGGGAGCGAGGAGGGGGAAATGGTCAGGGTGAGGGGAGGGAAGGGAGGGAGCGAGGAGGGGGGGATGGTGAGGGAGGGAAGGGAGGGAGCGAGGAGGGGGAAATGGTCAGGGTGAGGGGAGGGAAGGGAGGGAGCGAGGAGGGGGGGATGGTGAGGGGAGGGAAGGGAGGGAGCGAGGAGGGTGGAAATGGTCAGGTTGAGGGGAGGGAAGGGAGGGAGCGAGGAGGGGGGGAATGGTCAGGGGGAGGGGAGGGAAGGGAGGGAGCGAGGAGGGGGGAAATGGTCAGGGGGAGGGGAGGGAAGGGAGGGAGCGAGGAGGGGGGAAATGGTCGGGGAGGGGAGGGAAGGGAGGGAGCGAGGAGGGGGGAGATGGTCAGGGTGAGGGGAGGGAAGGGAGGGAGCGAGGAGGGGGTAGAGAGTCGAGACGGAGCTGAAGGCTGAAGGTCAAAGAGAAAGGTCTTGAGACCGGCCTTGAAGGAGGAAAGGGAGGAAGCGGCGAAGGCACTGGGGATAGAGTTCCAGAGCCTCGGGGCTGAGAGGCTGAAGGCCACCGATGGTCGGGCGGTTGGGGCGGGGGATGTGGAGCAGACCGGAGCCAGAGGAACGGAGGGTACGGGCAGGTAGGTAGGGGGACAGTAGGTCGGAGAGGTAGGAGGGAGCGAGGCCGGGAATGACCTTGTAGGTGAGGGTGAGGATCTTGAATTGGATCCTCGGGGATGGGGAGCAAAGGAGGTGAGCGAGGGCGAGGGTGGGAGTGATGTGGTCGCCCCACACACCCTACACCCACCCCTTACACCCTCCCCAGCTACATCCTCCCCCCCCCAACCCCCCCTACACCCTCCCCACTACACCCCCCCCCACACTCATCCCCTACACCCTCCCCATCTACACCCTCCCCATCTACACCCTCCCCTTAACCCCTACACCCTCCCCAGCTACACCCTCCCCAGCTACACCCTCCCCTTAACCCCCTACACCCTCCCCGCTACACCCCCCCCACACACACACACCCTACACCCTCCCCAGCTATTATTATCATATTAAAATATATTATTACACTAATATACTTTATACTGTCAGTCTGGGCTGTGCTGAGGTAATCAATACATTATTATATTATTGTACTGCAATAACAACAACAAAATTCCATGTGTAAACCACCTTTCGTGTTGGGAGGACATCCCAAGGCGCTGGACAGACAGAGTTATGGACCCAAGCTGGGTGTCGGGGTGGGGGAGGGTGGAGGGCGGTGGGTGAAGCAGGATGATCGAAAGCACGGTCGAAGAGGAGGGTCTTGAGGTCGGTTTTGAAGGTGGTGAGGGAGGGGGCGAGGCGGAGGGACTGCGGGATGGAGTTCCAGACGGTGGGGGCAGAGTGGCAGAAGGCCCTCCCGCCTGTAGTGGGGCGAGCGAGGCGGGGGACGTGAATTGGACAGAATACTCTAGCTTAGGCCCAACCAGCAATTTGTAAAGGTTTAACATAACTTTCTTGCTTTTATACTCCTGGCTCCTTCCTGATTGATATCTCCTCTCCCCTCTCATCGCTGTCCAAATCTACACTGAACACCTGCTCATAATGAACGACTTCAACCTCCATCTAAACAATAACACAATTCTATGTGTAAAGCTCCTTTTAACGTTGGGAGGACATCAAAAAGTGCTGGACAGACAGTCCGAAGCTGAGGGGCCCAGAAGATGAGAGCCACCCCGCCACCACGGCGGTTAGGTTGTAGGGTGTGATGGAAGGTGTAGGTGGGTGGTGTGGCCTTGAGTGATCCAGGTTTCAGTGAGGGCGAGGATGTGGATCAGGGAGGAGAGGTTGGTCCCTCTGGTTGGGGACCGCTGAGCCTTGTGGTGAGAATGGGGGACGGGGCAGTCAGAGTGGCTGCTGTTAGACACCCAGCGGCAACTCCCACGGTGGGCCTGACGGAGGATTCGCGGCTGGAGCAGAGGGAGGCTGTGGGGAGGACGAGCAGGGATAGGAGTCTGTGAGGTCGGTGGGAGAGGAGGACTGAGCGGGAGGAAGTGAGGGTAGAGGACGGGTGGGGGCATTATAGTCACCAATATATTATATACTATACTGTGTACTGTACACAGTGATCAGTCTGGGCTGTGCTGTGGTGGGCAAGGTAACACCATCTATTATATCATTGTACACAATATATTTTTCTAGCTGTACCCATTGCAGCTTGACTTGCAACCAAAGGATCCAATATGGAATGTAGATTGACACACAGACAGACATTTCATCTTGATCTATACTCACCTGGGAGGACTCCTTTGGGGGGACTCATTTTGGCCGTACTGTTCTTTGAGTGGGCAACCCATTCTGGTGCGCTGTTGCAGTCCTTTCATCATTGAAATGCAGCCGCGCTGTTCTTTGTTCTTTTTCTCTCTTTTGTCTAAGATTTTTACTGATCCTTGATGAAAGGTTTGATTTTCGCATCTTTATAATGATAAACATAAATGTATAATTTATAATCACTGGGATGTCCTCCCGACGTGAAAGGCACTTTAAGATTGTGATTTTGTTGTTGTTGCCGCAGCTTAGCTTCATCTGGGTTCTTTATTTGGTTCTTGCCGCCAGTTGGCGATGTGTGGGTTCTGTGATGCAGGTGCCAAGGTCAGTCGGCACAGCCACCAGGTGTAACTGCCGTAAAAAACGCAAAACTGAAAATAACTCATGAACAATAGGAGATATACAAAAACAATTTGCCCATGTCACTCCCAATGCAAGACCTTTCCGATAGGTATAAATCATGTCTTTATTCAATCAGTTTTTGAGATCCTTCTTGAAGTGCAGAGAGACAGACAGACATTTTATGTTTTATTCTATAGAAGAAGATATATAAAAGAAGATATACAGAAGATAAAGTAATTTTACCGTGTGTGAGAGTCCAGCAGTGATTATAAGATGTGCCATATATGTCTGTGTGTGTGGGACTGTGTGCGTGAAACGGGGAGCGGCGGCAGGACAGCACGGGGAGGAGCCTGGGCCTACCTACCCAGGTATTTAAGGTCGCGGCGGCAGGGAGTGCAGCCGCACGGGGAGCGGCGGCAGGGAGTGCAGCCACACTGGGGAGCGGCGGCAGGGAGTGCAGCCGCACGGGGAGCGGCGGCAGGGAGTGCAGCCGCACGGGGAGCGGCGGGAGGGAGTGCAGCCGCACGGGGAGCGGCGGGAGGGAGTGCAGCCGCACGGGGAGCGGCGGCAGGGAGTGCAGCCGCACGGGGAGCGGCGGGAGGGAGTGCAGCCGCACGGGGAGCGGCGGCGGGGAGTGCAGCCGCACGGGGAGCGGCGGCAGGGAGTGCAGCTAGGGGGGTGTGGGGGCGAAGCAGGGGAACCCGCTGACGTCATAGTTTAGTTTTCAGGAGTGTGCGCGCAAAAAAAACCCTCTGCGCCCCCCCCCCCCCCCCCCCCCCATGGTCCTGTTGGGTTGGCTCAGCCCCAGCCTATGGGATAATGCCATCCACCTGACCGCTCGCTCCCGGTCCCCGCGTGCGCATTATGGCTGCCGCTTTGACCCGAGCCCCCTCAGCCCCTCCCCCTCCTCTCTCCCCCAAACCCTCCCCCTCTGCATCTCTCCCGCTCTCTCCTCCTCTCTCTCCGTCCCTCTCGCCTTCTATCCCCACTCGACACCCCACCCCCTCCCTCTTCTCCAGTCTGGGAATCCTCCGCCGGGCTCAC